AAGGCCAGCCCGCGAGGCTCAACCTCAAAAGTCGCTAATAAAGCGGTAATTAAAAGCACTTGGAAAGAGCAGCCCTGCCAGAAGGAGAGGCAGAGACACCAGAGCCTTTCATTGTTTAACGGGCTGTGCCCATTCCTCGGTGGAAAGCGGCCACGGAGGCTCTTGGCGCCCGTCCCCTCTGCCCAGCGCGCGGGGTTGTTGATTCTCCCGGCTATGAAATGTGGCAGAAGGGCCGCGCCGAAAACACCGGGGCCGGGCCTGGCCCCGCGACGGGTCACGGCCCTGGAAGCAGGAGCGGGAGCCTCCCCTCTCCCGTTTGCTGCTGCCCTGCTCCTCGCCCGCAGCTGCCCCCTCCGTCCCAGCCCAGCTGCCACCCTGCCGGGGGAGCGGGGGGCAAAGCCACCCTCCTGCTGCGCGGTGCCCGGCGAGGGAGATGTCATCTCTGGGGGAAGCCTCCCAACTAGTTTTCAGCCCCGATTCGCTTCTCCTGGGTAGGGGGCAAGACCCGTGTGAAGAGCGAGGACTCCACCAAGGAGCGGACTGGTGTGTGCCGCTCTGCTAATCGTCTTCTATTGTTTGCAGCTCAATTACACCCGACCGGGGCTTCCAAAGCTCAATCCGAGGCTGCTGGAAAACTGGAAGAATGAAGTGAAGGAGAAGGGCCGCATCAACTGTCCCAACAACGTAAGGACCCTCTCTGTTCTTCTCTGGGACGGCCGGTCTCAGTCCGGAGGAGGAAAGGGGGAGGTTTTGGGGCAGAAACCCACCAAAGCGAGGTTCTTGTTGGGCCCCAGATGAAGCTAGCAGTGGTGCTCAGAGCCTTGTCTCACCCCCTCTCCCTGGGGTTGCTGCCGTGCCTGGTTGAAGCGTGTCACACCTTTGGGACCCTCCTGGTGTGCTCAAGCCACCGGGTTTGGGGACCGGGCCGCCCTCTCCCCTGGTGCCTTTGGGCTGACGGTTCAGCGTTGCCTGATGCGGGCTCTGGAGCTGCCTTTGGGGAGCTCCCGAGATCCGGACAGGGCGAAGGCTGCACGCTCTGCGCTCGAGAGCCTTTTTATGCAGAGAACCTGCTCTCCCCAGAGGAAAGCCGGGGCTGGATTTAAGCCGTTCTTTTTAAGGCCCTGGGACAGACAGAGACCTCGGGGACGTGGTGCGTGCGCTTCAACTCGCTGTGAAACGCAGCCTGGGCCTGAGCTGGCGGGGAGGTGAACCCCACCCTCGTGCTGGGCCGTTGATTTATCATCTGAAACAAAGCCTCGCTGATGGGGGTTTTGAACGAGGCTGTTACCGCAGGGCCGGGGGAGAGACACGCTGGCTAATTAATGTCATACACGGGCGCTTTGAAAAGACGTTGCTCAGAAACTGGTCATGCTGCTGCCCGGGTGATTTCTCTTCTCCGTCAAGCGTCTGCTGTGGCTCCAAGAACTCCTGTAGCCCAGCGGGACCTCCCGGCTGCTCACAAATGTACGTTTTCCACGGAGACGTTCAGGGGAGACATTTTTCGGCCCGTCGCAGAGAGATGTGGCCACATGACTCCCATTAGCGCTAATAGGAAACGTGTGACCAGAGCCCTCCGCGTCTCGCAGAGCATTAACCTCACGCTGCTTAGCCTGGACCGGTGGCCTTGCTGGCACAGCGGGCTCCTGGCCCCGGCACAGAGGAAGGCAGGGAGACGTGGTGGGGCAATCGTGGCCAACACGGCTTTTGTTTCCTCCCGCAGTGCTGTGAAGCCATTTACTCCAGCGTCTCGGGGCTGAAGGCTCACCTGGCCAACTGCAACAAGGTAGGTCCCTCCTTCTACAGCCTCGGCTCAGAGGTGGGGTTGGGTTTGGGGGTTTTCCCCAACCCCCCCGGCTCATTTGGAAACAACAGGCCGAGGGCCAGCAGCATGGGTTAAAGGC